GTGATGACAGTATTTAGAGACATAATGGGGGTTTGTGATAAGGCAAATCTTCCAATAATATTCATTCACAACAACAGAGCAATGCCTATAATATATCACATGTAATAATGAGGCAACAAAAGCTTTATATTTTGTTTTTTTCCCTTATTGAGGTATCACAGAATGCTGTAGATTTTAGCAACTAGTCCCTTGTCCATTATGCTTGTTAGTCCAGGTTGACTAGAGAAACAAATTCAGAGACACTCATATGTGTATAAGAAATAGTTTTATATAAAAGAGCAATTTTATATGAAGAAAACATCCCAGCCCAGTCCCGATCAAGTCCATAAGTCTGATATTAGCCCATATGTCTGATACCAATCTATAAATTCCTCTTCAGACTTATGCAACACATGCCGTGACGCTGAATGCAGGACGATCACAGGCCAGTATGTGGAAAGTCTTGTAGATCCAGTGGCAGTGGAAATATCTCAATGCTGGCAGGGGGCTTCACTTAGCTCCATGTGTTTTTTCAGCAGGAATGTCTTGCAGGGAATGAGTGTGTCCCACCACCAGTGAGCTATTTATCTCCTTAGCACCTTCAAATGAGATTATCGAGCTGAGACATGATGGATAGGTTAAACTCCACCCCTTCACTCTTAATAGTCTCAAATTGACAACAGATTATATAAGTACCACATTATGTCATTGCAAAATATTTTTTCCAATTTGATGGCTCTCATTTTGCTCTTTTGATGAAATCTTTTGATGTGCACAGGTGTTTTCTTGTTAATAGGTCCCAGTCATCTTCCACTGTGTGTGCTTCCTTTATTGTATTTGGTAGTCTGTGTATGCCCTGCCATAGGGTCCTTAGGTTTGCCCCATTTTTCTCATTCATGATCCTGATACTCTCAACACACTGAATTGCTTTCAGGTTCTCTTCTGCTTCCATGAGAGAGCCAGGTTGTCTCCATGCTTTCCGGTTAATACTGCTCCAATCTCTTCTTCCGAGCAATGCCTACTAACATTGTTCTTTAGGGGTCTAGAAGAGCATCAGCAACTCCAAGAAGCTTTCCTGATAGCTAAGTGCCCCAGCTGTGTGCTTTCTCTACTCTCTGTTCATGTTCAATAGCTCTTGACTCTGAGCTGGTCACTCACATTCTCCAAGCATCAGCTTCTTGGTGTGTAAAGTGAGGATTGTAATATTTGCTTGGTAAGTCCATTGTGAAGAAGAATAAGATGTATGTAAAAAAGTAAACAAAATTTTTGGCTCATTGGACATTTTCCGTAAATATGAGCAAAACTTTTTTCTGTTGTTGTTGCATTGTTGTATTATAACTTTTTCTTTTTTCTACCTTTCCCACTAAGCTAAAGCAAGGGAAAAGAGTAAACCTTTGTTTGCCTTGTCTGTATCTAACACAAATAGGATGGAATTGATAAAAAACAACAACAATAAAATAAGATTCCAGTATGAAAAGAGAAATAGAGACAGAAGGTCAAATATAGAGACCCCAACTTGCTGAATTTATCATTCCCTACTTATAAATTGAAAAATTACCCCTGACACACTCTAGGACACATTCATTTCCACCTGACCTTCCTTTTCTCTATTATTCCCTTCCTGTGTTCTGTCTTTATCCAAGGATGGATGCCAAGGTAGGAAGGGGAACAAGCAGATGTACATGAAAGGCTCTAAAAGAGGTATTCAGAGGAGTAAAGTGAAGAGGGGAAACAGGACTGACTACCAAAAGCCTCAGATTACCCAGATTAGAAATTGCCAAGACTCAGGAGAAAGTCTTCGCCCTGAAGTTTCTTAATGCTCTTAAAACTATTACACGCACATGCACACACACACACACACACACACACACACACACAAATGCCCATTTGGGTAATATGTGGCTGCATCTACGTCCATGAGCAGGGAAACCCAAGTGTCTTAGTTCTAGGATGCCAGATCCTCATCTTGAGTCTGGAGCTCCACTTCTTCTGAGCTTCTGTGCACAGCTTGGAAACTCCCTAGTCTACAGCGATGAAGGCCCAAGCCCAAACTCCCAAACCTAATCCCCTTCTGTTCCTTAGACTTGAGGTCTATTTAATCTCATAGTTTTACCCAGTATAGTCCCTTGGCCCATACCATTCCCTCCCCAGACAGGTTCTCACAGGTGAGCTGACCTTCCCTGTAACTGGCTTAGCAGAAAAGGAGGCAACGGCTGAGCAAGACCAGACTATTGCTTACTGAGACTGTGCACCACACATCAGGCCCCTGGACAATTGCACTTACGAGCCCTAAATCTTGCACATGCAGTTGTTCATATGTGCAATGTTCAAATTGCATAATGTCCTATCTTACAGAACATATATATTGGATGTTAACTAGCGCATACTTGTGTGTATATATACATGTATATATACTATGCCCCCCTTAGTTAGGTCTTTAAGAAGGGTCTCTGGGTACCCAGGCTGCAATGTCCTCAGATGAAACTGGCTAATAATGATGTGCAGATGAGATTTCTTAGGCCCTCGTGATGACCAAACCACTTTCCCCCTCTTCAGTCAGATAAACAAGATATGCATTGTTCTGTCCACTGTCCTGTTGGTGGACTCCCTTCCTGTTAAGTCAGCTAGAACAAGCGCCGGCTCCTTCACATAGGGCAGGTGAAATGTGCTATTTGGTGCAAAGGAGTCTGGAAGACCCACAGAAAAAAAGGAGGTAATCGAGTGCATAATTTGTTTCTCCTTATCCAAATACTGTCAAAAGAAGAAAACTGCCTCCAGTAGGTTGTGAACTAGAGCTCAGAACTATAATTCTCTTCCTGGTTGTCCCTCATGCCAAGTGTTTCTTGAAGGGTCTACTAGGAGCCAGGTACAGAGACCGTACCATCAGGTATTGTGGTAGCAACAAAGTAGATAACTCTTTCCAGAATTTGTTCATTTCTAAAGCCCCCTCACCTGTCACAAATGGTTCGATGAGAACTCTACTTGGAGCCAGCTGCTGGCTTATCTGCTACTTCTGCCACATAATCCACTTTGCTCTGCCCTTCTGTGGAGTTCTTATCCTTTGAATACTTAGGAAAGAAGCACGTATATTTCCTTTCTCCTTTGTAACCATAGAGGTGGTTATACATGTTCAGGTTATCTGGGATTCAGCTCTGCTAAGAGGAAAGTATTCCTCTTTTCCCTCTATCTTCCCCAAATCCCAAACTAACCAAACTGTGTAAGTCTCTTTTGTCTCCTTTGTCCAAAAATTCTCCAGTATATGTTGTCTGTGCCTTCCAGCCTGCCACCTTATCTGGTAACTATGCACACCTTACACTCCAGCCTGCCTCCATGCATCAGCTCACCTGACTACTGACAGTGCTACCAAACTCATTACTCTTGATTTGGTTAGGAAGTGAAGATTAACAAGCCTTATCAAGCCAATACTCATTTGGGCAAGAATACTGAGTGGAAGGAGTAAGAACACTGATGGACCAGAAGGTTAGGTCAATTTGGAGACTCATGCCTGGGCATCCGTGATAAGAGGCGGTTTTCCTCATGCTGTTTCAGACCAGAAGGTAAAATGGGTTAATTCCTGGGTATTGCCATTCGAAGTGTGGTTATGATACAGCAGCAGGAGTAGCATCACTCTGAGTCTTGTTAGAAACTCATAAGCTGGGTCTCACTTCAGATATACTGAATCTGAATTGTAACAAGACCCCCAGGGTAATAATATTCCCACTAAAGTTTCAGAAACATTTCCCTAGAGTACCAGATCTGACTTTCAAAATTTCTCTTAAGTATCCGCTTCTCTTCCATTTTCATTTGGGTGGAAGTTATCATTTTTTTTGCTAGCAACGTATTTTACTTTGTTGGTAGTCAATCATATTAATAACAAAAAACATATTTTGAACACCTGCCATGTGCCAGGGTCATTTTACAAACAAGGAAATTGAGACTGTGCTTTACCCAAGGCCAAAAATCTAGTGAATTGTAAAGGAGTTTCAAAGCCAGATCTATAAGCCTCCAAATATCTCAAGCCATCACCTATGGTACTAGTAATTATGAAAAGAAAACCCGTGGCTTTTCTTGGATGGCACCTGCTTTATCGAGAATATACAAAGTCTATCTTACTTCCCTATGAGGTACAAAGAGAAGAGAAGAAGGGACGAATATTATGATGAGGAAAACCCCACTCTGAATATCCAAGGAGAACTAAATGGTGATACCAAGGTCTGCGGACATCTTTTGGAGCCCTGGTCTAAAACACAGCTATAGCTGAAAGGATCATTTTTGATGATCAAGCCCCGTGTTACCCTTTCCAGATGTAGAAACAGACGCCCAGAGTTAGGGAGGGAGTTACCAGCAGTCAGAATGAATTCAATTTGAACCAGCTATCCTGATTCCAAACACTGCTATTCCAGCATTGTGAAAGGATCGCTTTTCTAGAGCTGCGATTTCTGGTGGTAAACCGTTTTCTTGGTTCTCTTTCAGGTATCATAGGAAGTGTAAGACCCTGTAAAATGGCTAAGAATATTTAGTGAGCCTTTGCATCTTGGAAAATTGCAATTTGCCTACACATTGAAAAATGCCTTGCCTCCAATAAAATCAGCTGTAGCGATACTTCCCTTGACCTGGAGGTTGCTAGGCCTGGCTGATCTAGGCTTTCCTTTATTGAGGCCCAGAAGATCGGCGGAGATGGCTGGGTGGGGTCAGCTCAGTCCAGGAAGCACAGGAATTCTTTTAAGTGTATTTGTCTGGGGTATTTTTCTTTCTCACTTAAGTGTATTTTTAAAAATTCTCTTTAGACACCCTCTTTATCTTTCCCAAACATCATTTCCTTGCTCTTTTCCTGAGTTCTTTCAGTGGCTGGGGGCCCAGCCTCCTTATTGGCCACTGAGTTGTGGAATGGGGCGGGCCAGGGCTCAGAAGTTGGAGCAGGGAACAGGAGGGCTATTTATGCTACTGGGACTGCCTTTCATCCTTCCCTTTGCCACCCGGGTGCTGGCTGGTTTCTGGAGTAATGTCTTTACTCCTATCCAGGCCACAGTACTGACTTTCATTACCCACGACAGTGGCTACATCTAGACCTGATCATGGTGATGGCTCCATCATGCTGATGGTCATACCTTTCTTTCAATGCTACTTCTCTCTGTTCTTGAAACAGGGACTTGACTGTCCCTGAGTATTGTGGATCACATTCAGAATCTTGAGCTGCTGGCCCTTCACCTCAAGAAGTCTTAACTGGAGGGCAGATGGACCCCAACTAAAGCAGAATCCAGCCTGAAGAAGGAAGCCCTGAGGGCTGGCTTGGAGAGGCTGTTGAATGAGCTGGCAGGACACCCAGCTCTCTCCTAAGCCATCTCTCCATCCTGGCTAGTTTTCAGGGTAGGTACAACCAGTAGCCATGGCTGCCATGGTCGCTGTCCCTTTATCCTATTTGCTTTCTTTCTTCAACTTCCCTTTTTGCTTTGTAAAAATCCATATTGGGATAATGGATGATGGCGGTGTGTTTGATGGTAGTACCTGAACTAATCCTAGGAGAAAGGGCAGGCACCAAAGGCATTACTTTCACACCCAGACCTTAAGCTGCTTGGATTGGTAGTTTGTATTTTCTTACTTTTCTGCTGATTGCACCTCATTTTCCTTCCTCACTGCCCAAGGAGAGAGGGGATAGTAAAAACTCTAGAATTACTGAGACCTTTCTTGTCTAACTGCTCTTTGACTGGATGGATATGAGAAGCTTAGTATGTATGAAGTGTTTCAGACAGACCACTCTTTAGGAAGATGGGACTGTGGGGTATCCTTCCTACGAAAGGCTGGAAGATCTGGGTTTTGATCCCTGGTTTTGATTCTTATGTTGTCATCTGCGTGCTGTTGACAAGTCATTTAAGCTTTCTCTGCCTATATTCCTCATATGTGAAGTGGGGAAAGTATTAATAGACTTTACCACATAGAGTTGGAGTAAGGATTAATCAGCGAATGCATAAAAAGTTGCTTAATGTATGACACTTCACAAATGTTTAATAAATACTTCCTTTTTTAAGTTTATAGAATACTTATATGTCAGGTGCTATGATGGCTGATCTCACACATGAGGAACGCATTTAACCCAAATCCAGATTTGTGAGAAAGAGATTGTCACCATTCCCATTTTACAAATGATGAAACTGCTACTTAAGTTGCTGTTGCCCAAGGTCACACAGCTAGGATTAGAATGTGTGTACTAGCTCCAAGTCTAAGGTTGTTCAGGAATAGTAACAGACCAAATATTAGACAATATTGACAATTTTCCCTCCTTTCCAAAACAAGAACTAGAAGGTTTCCGTTCTGGACCCTTCAGCTTAGATTTTTTAAAAAATGGTCTTCCAATGTTCCCAGAATCCCCATTGTCCTTCCTCTGTCTCCTTTGGGACTGTTTACCCGCTCCTGAAAACTCCCTGAAGAGAGTAAGAGGGTTTGTAAAGGAAGTGATATGGCAGAACCTTGACAGTGCGGGCGGACAGATCTGAGTCTCCATCATGGGGTAATATTTGGACGATCGAGAAGGACAAGTCTGAGATAATAGCCATTATTATAGTACCTAATATCTATTGACAACTTGCTCTGTGCTGGACACTTTACCAATATTATCTCTAATCACCACAGTAACTTAACGAATTAGAGATTATTGTTTCCTTTTTCATATAAGAAAAATGAGACCCAGAAAAGTTACATGACTTGAATAAAAACACTATAAAGCTAAGATCTAAGCCTAGGCTTCTTTCACTGCTTTTTGTCTCATTTCATACTAGCTAGGTATAGTTGATGGCATAATATTTCAAACTGTTTTCAATTCATAGTGACCCTTTAAGACAGGGTAGAACTGCCCGTGATTTTCCAAGACTGGAACTCTTTATGGGAGTAGAAAGTCTTTCTCCTGAGGAGCAGCTGGTGGTTTTGTACTGCTGATCTTGCAGTTAGTAGTCCAACATGCGAGACTAACATATATGAAGTGATGATAACCGATATAAAATATCATATCATTATAAGCTACATTCTGAAGAATGGATTAAGCAGGACAAACACCATGGAAGACATGCTACTAGAGTAATACCTTGAAGAACATGTAGGGTCTAGAGTAACAATTAAGGAGGGCATTCCAGGCAGAGGTAACAGTCATAGAATTAGCTAAAATGGTTCAGGACTTGCTAAATCTTGTTGTGAGCAATTGCTTTGCCCCAGTGATCTCTACAGGGCTTCCAAGGCTGGAAATCTTTATAGGAATATCTAGCATCATCGTTTTGCCAAGAAGGGGTTGGTGGGTTTGAACTGCCAACCTGTGGTAAGCTGTCCAACACTCACCCAACATGCCACCAGAGTTCCTAGGTAGATAGTATTATCTTCATTTTACTGCTATGAAAATGGGCTCCCAAAATTAGATTAACCTTCCTAAAAGAACAGCTAATAAATTATGGAGCTTGAATTCAAAGCAAGACAATCCAACTGCTGAGACTGTGCTAGATTCCACTGGAAAACCAACCGGACAAACAATGGCACAAAGAGTCAGAAAGAGGTGGAGCTGGGCATACAGTGTGACTGGAGCAGAGATGAGAGATGAACTGGGCGAATAAACTTAGTTTTTGAATGTCAGACCTGTTAATATTTGATGAAGGATAAGACATTGGTCAGATAATACCCCAATTCAGCTAATATTTGAATTGGTGTAGTCTAAAATAAATGATTGAATGTGAAACAAGGAGCAACTGGCCATGTTTTGCACATAAAATGTGTAGGACCTGGACTAGAACAAGAGGTGTTGGTAGTGAACTCTATGGAGGAAAGGTGTCATTCTATGGGGTGGGATAGAGAGAGAAGACAGGAAGGGAAAGGAAGGAGAGAGGTAAGAAAGGGAGAGAAGAGAAAGCGAACTGAATCCAGAGAGAGATCATAAAAGAAAACTCAGTCTAACTTGGTCAGGATTGGTATGTTAGGGAGATAGGATATCAAGGCTGACTACCTCTGTTTTAAATCCTTGGCTCGGGAGCATTTTAGGAATCCTGAATGTGGAAGAAGGAACCAAAATAGGGGATGCATCCTGTCTTCCACTGTATCTTCAAGGTCTAGTAGCATGTCTGGTACATGGGAGATACTATATAAATAGTTGGTGATGGAACAAATACCAGATAACAGCAATGAAGAGATTTCCCAGCATTAGGGCTTTGTGTGTGAGACTCTGGAGCAGGTACAGCCCCGGGCCATCTTGCATTTTTAGCCTCTGTAATCCATATTAGAACTTGTGATTGCCAAATAGGGTCTTCATCTGATTTTCCTCTCCCAAAACTTGTAGGCACTGATACTAAGCTGTGGCATACAGCTTCTTTTACCCTTCCTACTGCATACCCTAGTGGCTGGACTGCTTCCATTGGATCTGTATTCCCCCTCTCCCCCACCCCCAAAGTCAATTTCTTCTCTGAACTCTAATTTTAGGCCTCAGCCCTAGAGAGTTTTGTACTACTTCTATCTTTCAGGGAAGGGGACATTTCAAGCTAGGATTGAATCCTCCAGATTAATTGTGTCTACTGTTGCTGAGAGTTAGAGTTAATTTATCCCACTTTATAATAAGCATATTAAAAACGGGGGATTTCGGCATTCTATGATGCTCACCTTCTCGACATGATCACTGAAGACAAAATGGGTGCATAAGCAAATGTGTTGAAGAAAGCTGATGGTACCCGGCTATCAAAAGATATAGTGTCTGGGGTCTTAAAGGCTTGAAGATAAACAAGTGGCTATCTAGCTGAGAAGAAACGGAGCCCACATGGAAGGAGCACACCAGCCTGTGTGATCATGAGGTGTCAATGGGATCAGGTGTCAGGGATCTAAGACCCAGAACAAAATCATACCCAATGTGAATGGGGGTGGGGGTTGTGACATGGAGTGGAGACCCAATACCCATCTGTAGACAATTGGACATCCCCTCACAGAGGGGTCACAGGGAAGAAATGAGCCAGTCAGGGTGTGATATAGCACCGATGAATCACACTATTTTCCTCTAGATGTTTGGTGCTTCCTTCTCCCCACTATCATGGGCCTCTCCCCTTGCCCTTACTCCCTCATTCTATCTTCCTTCCACACTAACATGCTCCACATGTGCTCTGTCCTATACCATTTTTTCCCACTTGCAAAGGTGGCATCTGTTCAGGTGAAGTATGTCAAGGGGCATGGATTGTTCCTGTCTAAAACGATAAGTACCAGAGTTGTGGGTGCAGGCTACGGCATCAAACGGAACCTATGGCTGACTTCAGGGCCTTAGCTTCAGACTTTTTTCCATTACTTGGTCTACTGAGCAACCAGTCCTCTTTCTCACCCTAACACTGTGTCCTTCACTTTGTTCTATTTTCTCTCACAAAACTTGGGGTGCCCCCTCCCCACCCGACAGTACTTGCTTGTGAACTCAGGTGTCTCACCTCAGGGCCTATCTTAACCATCACACTTTCAATGCCCTTACCACACTGTGTTTTAAGTAGCTGTGGATCTTTCACTAGGCTGTAAGCTCTCAAAGGCAGAGACTGATTATTATCTATAGTTTCAGAGGCACATGTAGATGGTACACAGTAAATATAGGTAAGAATAAGTGAAAATTGGAGAATTCTCAACACTGTATGATTTGCTGAACTTTGTAATAACTTATTCCTTTCTCAGAGAGAGATGGGAATATTGGTCATATTGAATATTTTTTCTCTAAAGGAAGTGAAGGTAGGCTCACTGTTCGTTGGCCCGGAGCACCCATTTATTCTACAAATATTTATTAAGTATCAACTACGTGTGCACTGTTGTATATACTTGGAACAAAAGAGCCCCCGTAAAACTAACATTCTGAATCTCCAGAAATCACCTTCAAGATGAAGGAGGTTTGAATGCTGAAAGCTGAATAAAGACCAGTAAGATTCCCACACCCACCAACTCCTTGCAAGACATTCTACTTCATTTAAGGGAAAGAAGGGGTGGGGCGGAAGCAGCTTGGGAAGTGATTTCAGCTCTGGTTCCCCAAGCTAACTTCCTGTCCCTTCCCTGCTGTAGGAGAAACACCCCTGTCTGTAGGCCGCATTCATGGCATGTGGCCAAGCTGCTGGACGGATGCCCTGAAGTGGCCACCACCATGCATTACCCTTCTGAAGCCTTCAGCTTGTCTTGGCATTCAGGTTGCAACACAAGGTGAGTCTAGAGCCCTCCTCTTATGATGGGCTTGTGGGTAAACAACCAGGCAAGTTTTTATCTGTTCTAATCCCTGTTGGCTTTTATAGTGCCTTGAGTAGTATAGTGGGAACTGAACTGGGAGTCTAGAGAGCCTGAGTTCTAGTCTAGTCCACATCTACCATGAATTCTCTTCGTGACTTTGGGCCAGTTCTTTGTCTTCTGGAATTTTTTCATATAATACTTATTTACTTGGCTCACAAGACACCACACTCTCTTGCCTTTAATCCTATTTCCCTGACACTCCTTGGTCTCTTTTCCTTTTTCCTTCCCTGGCCTTTTAACACAGAAGGATCCTACCACTCAGTTCTAGTCCTCATCCTGTCCATACAGACTCACTGGTGATCTCGTGCAGTGTTACCGGCTCTGCCACAGAGCCAAAGACTTCAAAATGAAGACTTTCTTAAACAGTAGAGTCTCATTGCAACGAGGATTACCCTATTCGTGGTCTTTGGTGTGGGGGTTGTGCTATCTGTTGTTGAAACGTGTTTCCTGATGAAGCAGAACAATTTTTCAGCAATCTCAGAGACACCAAACTGCTAGCATAAGCTACCTTTTCCATTTTATAAAAGCTCTTCCCTTTATGAAAGGGTGTCTGTTGAGGAGGCTGGGGAGCTAAGGATTGATCCCCCCCACCCTTTTAAGCATCTGTTTGACATTGGAAGCCAAGGGCTTAGATCACAAGTAGTTTTGTTCTGGACATATTGTCAGGAGAGACCAGTTCCTGGAGAAAGACATTATACTTGGTAAAGTAAAAGGGCAGCAAGAAAAAAAAAAAAAGGAAGCCCCTTGACAAGGCAGATTGACATGGTGGCTGCAACAATGGGCTCAGGCACAGGAACAATTGTGAGGATGGTGCAGGACCAGGCAGTGTTTTGTTCAGTTGTGCACAGTATCATTGTGTGTTGGAACCAACTGAGTGCACCTTACAACAGCATATATTTGGAACATGGTTTCTGTTTGAGTAGGGAGGTAGTTTTTGTTTTATTTTTCAGAAGGCAAGATGATGGGATAAAAAGCAAGGCACCTTGCCAAGAAGGAATTGATGAATTATCAGCCTAGAGGCCATGAAGCAGAGAGGCTAAGGACAAGGCAGGGAACAAGAACTAGGGGGAGTTAGCCCAAACCTCATGGTGTCCTGTCATACCTCTAGCCTTCTGGACTATGGCATTTCTGAGAGCAGCCTAAATCCTATAGGGATTTAGCCATGGGGAGTTACTAGCATAACTTGGCTCAGTTTGCTTTTTCATGTGGGAAGCAATACTTAAAATTCAAAATAGTAACCACTCTGACCCCTTCCTTTGTCTCCCCAATTTAGCTTTGGCATGGAGGATGAGGGAGACACGAACAGCAGCACCACTAATGTATTAATAATAGCAGTAGAAAATATTGCTTATAGCAACAACCACCACCATGAAAGCATCAACTACCATGTACTGAACCTTTGCTAGGTGCCTGACGGTGACAAGGGCTTTATGTTTATGATCTTGTACACAGCAACTTTATGATATAGCTATCATCATCATCTTTTAACCAATGATACAGCAGATGAACAGCACAGAGGCCTGGGTTCAAATCCCAACTTTGCTTTTTTAATAGCTTTGTGAGCTTTTTGGTTTACTTTATAATAGAGAAGCTTCCCTTTTCACAAATGTTAAAAAAAAGATAAAAAATGTTCTCCTTCTGCATGACTTACTATGTTGTAAAGCTCTGGCACATTGTAAGTCTTCAGTAAATGGTCAGGATTACTATCATCAAGAAAAGAAGAAGGGGGGACACCTAAATTTTATTGATCTCTGACACTTGCTAACTGGATTATCTTGAGAAAATCACTTCCCCACAAACACTTCTCTTTGCTCTGCTTGTTTCACACCAGTGATTCTCAAAAGTATGGACCTTGGACCAGCCAGTCCAACATCATCTGGGAACTTGTTAGAAGTGTAACTTTTTAGGCTTTATATAGGCCAGCGGTTCTCAACCTGTGGGTTGCGACCCTTTTGGAGGTCAAATGACCCTTTCACAGGAGTCTCCCGATTCAAAACAGTAACAAATTACAGTTATGAAGTATCAATGAAAATAATATTATGGTTTGGGGGGTCATCACAATATGCGGAACTGTATTCAAGGGCCGCGGCATTAGGAAGGTTGAGAACCACTGATAAAAAGAAAATTCTAGGAGTGAAACCCAGAAACCTGTGCTTTAATAAGCCTTCCGTGTGATCTGATGTGCAGCAAATTTTGAGAAACAATAGTTTACAAGATGATCTGCCTGAAATTGCACCCGCTTTTGAAGGCCCCTCACTAATGCTGATTTTTGGTGATCTTTCCTGGCAGAAAAGTGTTAGAGGACATCCCAGAGGCAAGTCTAGACTTGATGATAACAGGGAAACAAAATGCAACCTCCACGGAATTGTCGCATTTTTAGTCTTTGGAAGATTTCCCCATCACTCTTCCCTATGCTGTCTTCTTCCGATCTCTTTAGCTCATCCCTGAGGTGCTCACCAATCCTACTTATCTCCTGTTTTCCTGTCTTTCTTGTCCCTTGCCTCCCTCTCATGTATGGCATAAGTTCCTTGAACTTGTCCTGCCTGGCAAGACTGACCAGGGTGGGAAAGGGATCTGGGGATTGCGCTAACTGACCACTGTGTCCTGTGTCTTGCAGTGACGTGTGTGCGCAGTGGTGTCCACTCTCCCGGCACTGCAGCACGGAGAAAAGCAGCTCTATTGGTAGCATGGAGAGCCTGGAGCAACCAGGTCAAGCCACTTATGAGGGTCACCACTTGCCCATTGACCAGAACATTTACCCTAACCAGCGTGACTCGGCGTACAGCTCCTTCTCTGCCAGCTCAAATGCCTCTGACTGCATTCTTTCCCTCAGGCCAGAGGAGTCGGCCTCTGCAGACTGCATCACACAAGGCCTAGGGCCAACTAAGGTCCCCAGTGGTCGGCCTAATGTGGCTGAGCTCTCAGGAAGTAGCCGACACCCCAATGGGAGCCACCTGATGGCCACTTCGCAGCTGCCATCCCGCCCACAGGACAGTCACCACGCAAAATCTGGCAACGCAGCAAGGGACCCACCACCACCTCCAGTGAGGCGAGATAGCCTTCAAGCCTCCAGGGCGCAACTCCTCAATGGAGAACAGTGCAGTGCTCCTGAGCCGGTGGCCTCCTTGCAACAGGAGGAGAAACTGAGCTCAGAGACCATCTTGTCTCCAAGGAACCCGAACAGGTTTTACTGCCTCAAGGGTCAAGACCAAGAGAAGAATGAGGACCATCAGGACGATGAGCTCAGTCAGCCTCCTGACTCCAGTCCACAGGGTTCTGAGCATCTGCTGATGGAGGCCTCGACCAAAGGTGCTGCTTACCCCCAAACCTATGACAAGGCTTCCAGCACAAGTCCCAGCCCGCTCCCCCAAGCTGCAGCAGAGCGAGCTAAGGCCTCTATTGCCGGCAGTGCTCCACACCTCACAGAGCATCGTCATAGCGCCCCTGAACAGCTACTGGCATCACACCTCCAGCATGTGCACCTGGATATCAGGAGTGGCAAAGGGATGGAACTTCCATCTGGGCATGATGGACACCAGTGGACTCTCTCCCCCTTGCATAGCAGCCTCACAGGGAAGAAAAGTTCACGTGCCCTTGTAGGGGTGACCCAGGACCAGCTTGTCAAGGAGAGGAAAATCAGGCTAAATGAGGATAGACCTTTGAGTTCTGAACACCAGAGCCCAAGCAGTTCCCCTTATGAAGATACTGATGGACACCCTCCAGAAAGAGGCTTTCTAGACCCAAGTAGCTCAGGCAGTGAATTCACAAACCAGCAGCCCCCTGCCTCGGGCTCCCTTGTTCAACCAACCAGAGACTGTTCTTCAACCACTAAAGCAGCCAGTAGCACAAAGGCAGTTGAAGAAGTTGGCAATGAACCCAAGGAGTATGGCCAAATGGGTAGTAAGCGAAGTGGAGGGACTCGGGGTCGCTCCATCCAAAACCGGCGCAAGAGTGATCGTTTTGCTACCAATCTACGTAATGAAATTCAAAGGAGGAAGGCCCAGCTCCAGAAAAGTAAAGGTCCTTTGTCACAGCTGTGTGACACTAAGGAGCCAGTTGAAGAGACTGAGGAGATCCCCGAAAGCCCCCCACTTCCTGACTCTAATCCATTCCTTCTGTCTTCATATAAAAAACCACCTGGCCCTAGAGGCAAGCACTTAAACAAGAGCATGATACTCAGGGCTAGATCTTCAGAATGCCTTAGTCAAGTCCCTGAGATCCATGAATCTAGAACAGGCTTGGAAAGGCCAGTAAGCCCAAGTCAGAGGTCTAACCAGTCTTCTTTGGGCCTGAACACTTGGTGGAAAGCTGAACCAAACTTCTCAGACTATGAGAAAGCAAATGCTCACCCTGGAATACGTGGAGGTCACTGGAGATGGTCTCCAGAGCATAATCCCCAGCCACACGTCACTCTAGCCATGGATAGCCCTTCGAATGCAGGTGACAACAAGGAATTGAAGGCTTCTGCTGCCCAAGCTGGGGAAGAAGCCATCCTCTTGCCCGTGGCAGACAGAAGAAAGTTCTTTGAAGACAGTAGTAAATCTTTATCCATGTCCCATTTGCCAGGTTTAACCACTCATAACAATAAAAATTTTACCCAAAGAACAAAGCCTATGAACCAAAACGTCCAGTCAATGAGCTCCAGCTATAGAGACTTGAGACGCCATCCCATGGACAAAGCATATCAATGCACAGACCAGTCATATCATCCCACGTCACCACTTCAGTTAGAAAGTTCCACTTACCCTGAATGCTTTGCAAGCAAAGGCCTGGAACAATCCATGTGTAATAAGCCACTTCACTGTGGTGATTATGATTTCTGCAATACTTACTCATACCCCCCCAGTATTCAGGGAGCTGTGGTTCATGACCCTTGCATTTACTGTCCTGGGGAAATCTGCCCTGCCTTACTAAAGAGAAATATGATACCAAACTGCTACAACTGCCGATGCCACCACCACCAGTGCGTCCGGTGTTCAGCTTGCTATCATAATCCTCAGCATAGTACCCTTGAGGATAGCCGTTTAGCACCTGGCAACACTTGGAAACCCAGGAAGCTGGCACTGCAGGTGAGAACTTGGTTTTTGGATGGGTGAGCTTCATTATTCCCTTTATGAGGAGAGAGCTAGGTAAATCCTTTGAAAATAGAATAACTATGCTCTCTTAGAACTATACTCCCCTGACTTCAAAAGGTGGTGCCTAGTAACCTTGAAAAAGACACGCGGTCGCCAAAATTGTAAGGCTTCACAATAGACTTTTGCCTCATAAAATGACGGAACTGTGATTAATATCCTGACTACATAATTAGTATCTGAGTGACCATAAGCAAGTTATTCAATCATCCAAAATTATAATATGTTATCTCTAAGATAACAAATAAATTTTTTGCTCATAAAATGACCAGGACTGTGAAAACTGCATCTCTAAAATAATGGTAACCTAATCTATCAGTTGTGATGATCAAATGAGATTGAGTATGTAAACAGTCAGGCATAGTATCTGATACAAAACAGCATTTAATTCCTTCCATTCCCTGCTTAGGAAACTATCTGGTTCTACAAAATGTGTAGTTGCTCCTCTGGTTTTCCTTTCAGAGATAGGACTTGTCTAGTTTTCGAAGGTTAAATCCTTCTCCCCTGCTCCAGCCAATCTGTCAGAGACCTGGGTTTAGATTGGCTGCTGCTTCAGGGAGGACCCCATGTGTCCTCACCATCTCACTGCCAGAGCCCATCCCCATGATTTTCTCAGTGCTACCTTTTGGCTGGTTCGCTCAACCAGAAGTTCATTCCTTAGTAACCAGCAGATATTTCTGAAGTTCTCAATATGAAACTGCTCAATATGTTTTATTTTCTAAGGGGTTTGGGAATGAAAGAAGCCTTACACAAGAGTACGTAGTGCTTGATTTCTTTCTTTATTTTTTTGTATATAAAAGTTTAATAATTATTAGTAAATAGAAAATAATAGAAATTATCATAGAGAAAACACCAAAGGTAGAATTTAATTTCTCAGAGATAACACTATGTTAGAAACTACTTTACTTTCCATCCATATTCTCCTTTTTTTTTTTCATTTTCCTTGGGTTTTTATCCTTCTATTTGAATCTTCTCCTGGCCAAATTACCTAACTTTCAATAATTTTGAAATTCATTTTAATCAATGTTACATGATTGTCACAGTCTAACATTCTTTTTTTAAATCATTTTATTGGGGGCTCATATAACTCATCACAATCCATGTATCCATCAATTGTGTCAAGCACATTTGTACATTCATTTCCCTCATCATTCTCAAAATATTTGCTCTCCACTTAAGCCCTTGATATCAGCAATAAAACAACTATTTTATGGAGAAAAAAGGATCTGAACAGTGGTTACCTATGGGAAGTGACACAGAGTTTAGAAGGACTAGGAAAGGGCAGGAGGGAACTTTGTGGGGTGGTAATGATAGTAATAATACCTGGATAAAGGTTTGAGTTACACTGGTGTATACACTTGTCAAACTCAACAGATGTACACTTAATAATTGGGCCTTTCACGGAAAGTAAATTTTACCTAAAAATAACATAAGCAAATACTGAACTTTATTTAATTATATATATGCCACCAGAAATGGTATATTGATGCATGCTACTTACTGTTTTTGGCACACAAAAAATCTGCACCAATTTTTTAAATGTTTAAATCTAAAACTGCATGTCTTTTGAGGCTACTGTATATGGTATTGTTTTCTTAATGTCATGTTATGGTTCTTTGATGATATTATATGGAAATACAATTGAGTTTTGTACCGAGTGTCCTGTGACCCTGTGGAAACATTTATTAGTTTTAGTGGCTTTTGGTATATTTAAATGTTTTTCAAAATAGACAATCATGTCTACAAATAGAATGAATTTTATTGCTTCCTTTGAGTTATATATGCTTTTTGCCAGGACAGCCAGTATAACATTGAATAGAAGTAGTAAGAATGTACATCGTTGCTTTGTTCCCAATATTTCACTTCTAACTGTGATGTTAGCCAGAGGATTTTCTTAGATGTTATTGATTGAGTTACCCCTTTTATTCCTAGTTTGCTTTAAATTTTTTAAAATCAAGAATGTTTTCTTTCTATATCTATTGATATGATCATATAGTTATTCGTTTGTTTTTTCCTCAGTTTGCTGATATGGTGGATTACATTGATTCTCTAAATTAAGAAGTAGAATAGCATTCCCAATCCTATTTGGTCATAATGCATTATCCTTTCTATATGTTACCAGATTTGATTTTCTAAAATTTGTTAAGAATTTTTACATCTTTGTTGATCAGGTGACCAGGATTTGGGGTCTATAGTTTTCTAGTAATATTTTTGTCTAGTCTAATATAAAAGTAAATTGGGCCTTATAATATGAGTTGGGAAATATCCTTTTCAGGAAGAGTTTGCATAGAATGTGTATTATTTCTTCCTTAATTATTTCATATAATTCATTTAAAGTCTTCTGGGCCAGAGGTTTTCTTTGTGAGAAGTTTTAAGTTATAAATTCAATCCCATTTATTGATACAAGGGCTTCAAAGGTTTGTGGAAAATGGAATGGAAAGTTAATGGAAATTTCCAAAAATGTTTTGAATCCCTCTTCTATCTATTCCCATTTGAGGGAGCTATGATATTTTGTGTCTTTCAAGGAACTATCCATTTCATTTATGTTTTCAAATTATGCAGACAAAGTCATTTGCAGATTATTCTAAAATGCATTAAATGATTAATTTAAGATGAATCAGTGCATGGATAGAGGGAAGAATAGGTAGATATATGATACAGCAAATATAAAGGTATGGCAAAAGTATTGCTACTCGGATTTCAGTTCATACACGCATGCATTTATTTTTACATATAGTTTTAAACATGTCTTTGCAATTAGTAGAACTAGCACACTAGTTCACTCAGTAATATACTTGCCTTTGTCTCTTTAGACCTAATAGAAAATATATTCAGAAGAAATAGCTTCACAGTTTGGTATTTTGTTTGAAAAAAGTTTCTATGATTTTATGTATTTTTGTATAGATAAATGTTTATTATAGAATCTAAGTTGTGGTCACTCAGGGGAAAATTATTTCAACTTTTCTGGATGTTTGAAAATATTCATAGTAAAATGTTGAATAAAGAAGATAGAAAATATAACAATAATTTAAGGGTCATGATGTTGAATGCAGACTATCTGTGTTCAAATTCCAGCTCCAGAAATTATAGTGCTTAAATTTCTTCATCTGAAACATAGGGACAATAACAAGACTTACTTCATAGGTTCGTTATGAGAATTAAATGATGTGATGCATGTTAAACACTTAGAACAGTGATTGATAGTAATTACCTTATTTTTTTTAAGTGCATGGGTGTGGGGAAGGGTGTTAACATGAAAAATGTCTGCTGAAAGAAGGAACTGCAATTAAATATAGAAAAGGGGATTTGAAGTTGAAGGGGAAGTGAGGAGGTGATGGCTGCCGATACAGAGGCCTCAGTGATTCTATAAATGCAAGAGGTAAAATTTGCAAGTTGTAGCAGTTAGCAGCAGCAATGATGATGTCCCTGTGCTTATAATACCCCCTATCACATTATACTTTGAGGAAGGGATATATTGGGTTCCTAATGCCTGTTAGATGGAGCCCTAGTGGTATAGTAACTACATGTTGGGCTGCGATTGGCAAGGTCAGTAGTTCAAAACCATCAGCCACTTCATGGGAGAAAGATGAGGCTTTCTACTCCCATAAAGAGTTACAATCTCAGACACTCATAGGGGCAGTTCTACCCTGTCCTATACGGTCACTATGAGCCGGCACCAACTTGATGGCATTCAGTTAGGTTTTTTGAAATGCCAGATAGAGTGACTAAGCTGGTCTGCATTGAGACTTGGCTTCCAGCTATGTGAATAGCTATCTAGGAGTCACGTAATTCTCCTTTCAAAACTACCACCCGAGTCCTTCACCTCCATACATGGGAAACACTGGCAGCCTGGGTTAGGCTACACTGTCTCAGATAAATAATGTAGTTGTTACGCTGACCGTCAGAATTAGGGCTGAATTCTGCTCCTTATGGGCCCTGAAAGTGGTTTGGAGGAGCTAATTGGTTCCTTCTCAGTCCTGTTAATGAGGAAAAGTAAAATCAACAAAGATTTTGTAGTTTGTGACAGTTAATTTTATATACCTAATAAGATTATTTCAGTTTAGACATTGTTTGAAATAAATTGTAATAAGATCTCCATTTTACAGCTGAGGAAGCTAAGGCTCAGAGAGGTCAGAAATCTAGCAAATGGCAAGCCAGAATTTGGACATTATAAAGATATGTAACATTTTGAGAACCTACTGTGCACCAGGTACTGTTTGTTATAGCATATATATATATATATTCATTTAGTCCTCCAAACAGCTAAGAATATTTGTTATTATTGTCACCATTATAGAGAGGAATTGAGATGAAGAAAAGTTGAGTAGCTTGCCTTCATTACATAACTAGTGAAGGGCAGATCTAGGATTTGAATCTGTATACTCTAGCTTCATGGAGCCCTGGTTGTACAGTTTTGAAGTGCTTGGCAGCCAAAAGGTTGGGAGTTTGAATCCACCGACTGCTCTACATTGCAGTCAGCTTCTGTAAATATATAGTCTTGGAAATCCCATAAGACATTCTCCTCTATCCTATAGAGTAGCTATGAGTCATAATGGAGTGGATGGCAATGGGTTTAATCTAGCTCCAGAGACCACACTCCCAATTGTGCTACACTGAATCCATAAATTGATTGCCAAGCCCAGCACATCTCTCATGGGGCAGGTTACCTTCTAGTAGCATAATGTCCATCTGGACAGGTAACTCCCCTCACACTCCCAGTCTGCAACAAGACATGGGGAAAACAGCCTCTTTCATTCAGAGGGCAGAGGCAATTTTTAGTAACCTAAGTGGCTCCAAAGGAGCCCTGGTGACATAAAGGTTACGAGTTGGGTTGCTAACCACAAGGTCAGCAGTTTGAAACAACCAGCTGCTCGGCCAGAGAAAAAAGAGGTTTTCTACTTCTGTAAAGAGTTGCAATCTTGGAAACTCACAAGGACAGTTTTACCCTGCCCTATAGGGTCTTTCTGAGTCAGAATTGACTCAATAGCAGTGAGCTTGATTTAGAAGTGGTTCGGGGGTGGGGGTGGGGGTGGGGATCAAATGATATGGGGATCTGGAAAGGAGGTCAAGAATTGGTGAAATACAATGGTTTGGCTACTGCTTTTTACTGAGTGCTCCCATGGGCTAGACAGAGCAGTAACAAGACATCCTGACTCTCATTGTGGCTGAACAGTAATGGTGTCTTTGAAGGCAGAGGTATTTCACAAAGTGTAGCATCTGAAATATATGAGACTAAATATTCTCTGATGTAACAAGACCCTGTGAAAGCTGGATCCAGGAAATAAGTCTGTTGTTTTCATTACCAAACTCACTGTCATTGAGTTGATTCTGACTGATAGTGACCCTATAAGACAGGGTAGAACTGCCCCCTGTAAATTTCTGAGACTGTAACTTTTTATGAGAGTAGAAAGCCTTGCCTTTCTCCTGTGGAGCTAGTGGTTTTGAATTGCTGACCTTGTGGTTAGCAGCCTAACACATAACTACTGTGCCACCAGGGCTCCTTTTCCATTACCAGTTGCCATCAAATTAATTCCAACCAGTGGCACCTTCATTTATGTCACTCCCTATATACTCTAGAGATTAATGGCTGGGGCCTTCTGGTAGGAAATTCTAGGTCTTTCTTCTTCTATGGTGCCTCTGAATGAACTTGAACCTCCAACCTTTGGGTTAGCAACTAAACATGTTAGCGGTTTGCACCACCCAAGGACTCCAATATTTTCTACCCAAAAAAACGTAGCCGTCAAGTTTCTTCTAACTTATGTTGGCCCCATGTGTTACAGAGTAGAACTGTGCCCACTTCAGAATTTTCTTGACTGTAATCTTTGTGGAAGTTGAACATCAGGCCTTTCTTCTGTGGTGCCAAAAGATGGATTTGGAATGCCAACTTTCTAGTTTGTGTTATTATTAGGTGCCATGAAGTTGGCTCCAATGCATCACAACACAATGTACAACAGAACAAAATGCCACCCAGTCTTGTGCTATCCTCTGTAATTTTTCTATTTCAGCCCATTGAAGCAGTCATTATGTCAATTCATAGCTGATTTACCAAGGACACTTGTCTCTCCTGATAACCTGTCCAACAGAGTCCACATCGGACTTGTGAGGTCCACATAGTTGTATCAGAAACTTTAAAACTTTTTTCTTCTTAGATTTTAATGTGCCTTCCATTACTGAACGAAAGCACATTTTATCAACATAAACTTCAAAGCAAAAAAGAAAAAAACGATATTCCATTGTGAAATGGTTAACCGGGTACCTTAGGAAGGCCTACTGGAACAAAGGTAATAAACTTTTGAATAGAATTAATAACACTGGGGAAAAAGATTGTGTGAAAGAGGTTTAGGAAGAAGTATGCATTGCTATTGGGATAAGTTCTAGGCATTTAGGTAGAAAGTACCGGATAGAAAGTTAGAGATAATTGGCATTCAGTTTGGAAGTAGACTAAGAAAGTAAGGGCAAGTCAAATTCATTGTCATTGAATCCATTCTGACTCATACTGATGCTATAGGACAGAATAAAACTGCACTTGTGGGTTTCTGAGATTTTAAATCTTTATGGAATTAGAAAGTCTAATTTTTCTCCAGTGCAGTGGTATGTGGTTTCAAACTGCTGGTCTTATGACCATTAGCCTTACTAGTAACCCACTATTCCACCAGGGCTCTTTGGCTTGACTTAGAGGGGAAATGATTGCTTGTCCAAAGCCCTGCAGGAAAAACAATACCCAGGTAGAGACTCTACTGTTGGGAATGTGGCACTCAAGTTTCCAAAGTAGGCCCATTTTGATCTCTGCCAGTATGTCTTCAAAGAGGAGGAGGAAGAACCATTGCATTACAGGTGAAGTGTGCTGCCATACTCCACATCTCTCTTACCCTGGGAAGGTATAACAGTAGCAGCAACTTTAGACCACAAAGCCCTCTCAAGGATAGAGCTTCCAAGAAGATACTTTCTATGTTGGAAGGAGCAGGATGAATTATCTGGTTCACCCTGCAGAGCAAATAAAAAGAGTCAGAGCAAACAGCAAATATATTAAACTTGTTTTTCACATTTGGGAGAATAGTGGTGAAAGAGGGTGAAAGGCAGAGTTTCTGGATCACACTATCCAAGTACTGGAGTACGTTCTTCGTCTCTGCATGCCTCCATAAAAAACCAGCAGGCCTCCTGGCATAAAGTCAGCCCTACAGGTATATATGTCTAAAGTATATCCAGGAGAACAGAAAGGACCAGCTAGAGGACTAGCTAGGAACAGACTCATGAGCTCTTCACATTGTTTAGGCTGTCTAGATACCTGCTTCTTAGAGCTCCCTAGTTTATCAGATTTTTACTTTGCAGGAATTTCCTGGGGACAAATGGAAACCAACAACAGGAAACAGGAAGACCAGCCAGTCAGGGAGGTAAGTGACTATTCAGGGAATTGGGGTGAGTTAATGCCTCTGGGGGTTCTGTAGGAATTAGTAAGACCTTCTGTTTGCTTAGTTTCCTTTGAGGAAACTGGTCTGGTATCCATACCAATGGTGTGATGTCATAGATGTAATCTAGCCTGTCCCCAGTCAGCTGGACTACAGACCAGTCTGACCGCATTTTTGAAAACACAGTCCTTGGGCAGTATTGTGGAACATTGAACCCACTAGTTCAGAGGCTGGAGACAGTCTTGCACAGGCATAACATTATGTGGGATCAAACTGTGTTGACAGAAATAAGAAGACAGAAACTCTGCCTGCCTTACAAGTGACCATTTGGTAGTTGGAGGGGAAAGAGCAGCAGTAGGAGTGCCCAGCTATTGCTGTGCATTTGCTCCTAAGAGTTTGTGTTACCTATTTCTTGAATGCTTCTGCTTTTCTTTTTATAGGACCAATTGAGATTGTAAGGTATGTTCATTAAAATCCCAGGGGCAGATCACACTAATAATAGGTTAAAATTACCAGAGGGGCATCATATATGACTCTACCGAGTGAATATAACCCTTTTCAGCCTGTCTGGACCTTCTTTTTTGTGATACTCCATGATAGATTCTTTCATCCAGTTCTCCCCAGGCCAAATTTTAATTTAATACAAACAAACGAAAAACCAAACCGAACTTCCATCAAGTTGATACCTCCTGATAGCAACTCTATAGGACAGGGTAGAACTTCTCCTGTGAGTTTCCAAGATGATAACTCTTTACAGAAGTAGAAATTCCCACCTTTCTCCAAATTTTACAATAGTCCCATAAATTATATTGATTCTTTAACTCACACTCCAGGAGTGAAGGGGGAACCACAGGGAAGGATCTAAACTATGCCTTTGGGATCTAACGTAGGGTCCCCAGGAAAGAGGACTTGAATATGAATCTCTTGATCCCTGAAAACAACCCAAAGTTCTTTCTAGCTGACTACATTATCCCCTGTGGATTGGTGGTGTCGTCAGGAACAATTTTGTCCTCCCTCACTTCTATTACCTTTCTGGTTGACAAGATCTTTTTGTGTGTGTGTGAAAAAAAACCCACAGAAAATATTAAGAAACCAAATCAAGCACAAAGTGTATCAGAAGTGAGACCAAATGGCAAGGTTTTAACCATTCAAACTTATCATTTTAATCTACTATAGTGGTGTCTCCAATATTCCAAGATTATAACCAGGGAATGATCAAGTTACTCCCTTCCCTCAATGATGGTGAAAGGAAAATCACTGGAGGCCTACTTTCTGTACATCTTGCAAATATACTTTGGCTTTCTACTGTCATTCATAGCCTTCTGCATATCAGAAGCTCACAATTTGTGCTCTGATACTATTCCCTCCGTTGGGTTACATAATTTACAATCCTTGGATCACAGGTGTTGGTGTGTTTCTTCCATGTGGGCTTAGTTGACATCTCACTTAAATGGCTGCTTGTTTGAAAACAAGCCTTAAGATCCCAGACACTATTATTTCTGATAGCCGGGCACCATCAAATTTCTTCACCACACTTTATTCATAGCACCGCTATCATCTGTGTTTCCTTCACAAGGGTGAGTGTCAGGCAGAGCTATGATGTGAAAACTAATTGCTCTTACATTAGAGCTAGGATTAAGAGCAAGCACAAAATCCATCCCTGAATCTATGTTTGTTTGTTTGTTTTTAATCTGCCTCTGGTTCATCTTAGAGACCGCCTTGTTAATTTATGGTAGAGAATCTCATTAATAATCTCCCTGAAGCAATTGGACCTCCTGTGTATAGTGTCAATGATTCCCCCATCATACTAATTTTAAAACACTATATATAGAGAGAGAGATTGAACAAGTGTAGGCTAACTACATATCACAATACATGGATTATTCACTTGTGCAGAATATATCCTTATGTGATTGGGTGTTATTTACCCAAACTATGGGACTTGGTGGCCTGGGAAAATTTTCAACAGTATTCACCGACTTCAGACACAAGTCTGCCAGAATAATGCATACCTTTATACAGAAAGTAGGACATTGAAGTAGTAAGTAAATGTTAGTCCACCTTCCAACAGTATAACTGCCTTCTGCTTCTTTACACACCATGTAGTTTCAGTCTTAAATCCTCAGGTTACAGGTGTATTTGAGGTAGATCCCCATTCACCTAATGAGGTTTCCACATCTCATCCCTCTGGTATGGCCTTTGGAGCATGTTGTGCACCATGAAGATTCAGGGTTATATGTCCCAGGCACATGGTCTGGGTCCCCAGATGGTGTACAGAAACTCATCCTATTGTGGCTCATTAGGAGCATAGTACCAGGCATACTCCCCCACTTAGTGTCTTTAAAAGTATTGTTAGTCATTTTTTCCCCTACTAGGAAGTTGGTCCTCACCCATTTTCCACCAACAGACATGCACTGGTCTTCTCCAATATGCGTGTGCTCCCTTTCTCCAATCCTCACTTATTTTCCCACCAGTATACCTTATCACTCTGCTAGGAATGTCTGCCAGTTGAGGGGGACCTCATCATACTTTTGCTTGGCATTCATTAAATGGTCATCCTCTCCCTCCCCCTGTCTTGAAAATCTGATCCCAGATAAGGTGATGACTTCTCTCCCAAAGTGACTTAAGGGTGAGCATAATGGTGGGGCAGGAGGAAGGTAAAAGGAAACAGGAAATATCTAGGAAGCAAAGCTACAGACAGAGGTATAAGCATAGGTGTGTGTATATATAAATATAGTCATTCATAAAAATAGAGGTATCAACCTATGTACATTGTTAAGTATGTACATTTATGTATAAGGCAATACACTGAAGTAGTGGACAGACGTTGGGTCTCTGCTCATCCCCTCCTTCAATGCAAAAACACTTTGTTCTAATAACCTGGTGTTCTGTGATGCTCACCCTCCTGGCACAATTGCTGAAGATTAAATGGGTACACAAGCAAATGTGGTGAAGAAAGCAGATGGTGCCGGCTATCAAAAGATATAGATAGCATCTGGGGTCTTAAAAGCTTGAAGTTAAGCAAACGGCCATCTAGCAGAGAAGCAACAAGCCCACGTAGAGGAAGCACACCAGCCTGTACGATCATGAGCTGTCGACAGGATCAGGTAACAGACATCAGAAGACCCAAAACAAAAAAACAAACCAGCAAAACATATTGTTGAGAACAAGGGGTGTTGGCACCGAGACTCAGAACCCGTCTGTAGACAATGGGACATACCTTCACAGAAGGGTCACAAGGAAGTGATGAGTCAACCAGGGCGCAGTATAGCACTGATAAAACACACAATGTTCCTCTGGTTCCTTAAGGCTTCCTCACCCCCCACTATCATGACCCCAATCTTGCCTTTTATTGCGGGCTAGCCCGGAACATGTGCACAGGTACAGATAAGAGATAAGAGCTCATGACACATGGAATCCAGAAACAGGATTAAGAGTAATGATACCAGGAGGGTAGGAGGAAGGTGAGGAGGGGAGTGGAGGAAGAGTGAACCGGTCGCAATGATTGACACATAACCACCACCCCCATCCCACTCCCAGAGGGATGAACAACAGAAATCATGGGGGAAGGGAGACAACAGTCGATGTAAGATATGAAAATATTAATAATTTATAATTCAGCAAGGGATCACGAGGGTAAGGGAGGAGGGAGAGGAAAAGAGGAGGTGATACTATGGGCTCAATAGAAATTAAATGTTTAGAAAATAATGATGGCAACATATGCACAAATATACTTGATACAATTGATGTATGGATTGTTATATGAGCTCTAAGACCCCACAATAAAAAGATCTTTTAACAAAAACAAACAACAGCAACAAAGGATACACACAGAGGATGGTGCATGGTTCAGGAGGACCAGTCAGACTCTCTACCAAGCTGCCTGGCCAATCTGGCTACCTGAAAGCTTGAGCCTGCTCCCATCCTTGTGTTCATCCCTACATCAGTGGACTCATAGTATTTGTCCCATTTGTGATCGATTAACTTCACTCAGCATAATAGTCTCCAGATCCCTTCATGTCATGAGATGTTTCATTACTGTTGTGTGTGTTTTTCCCTTAGGGATACGTAGTATTCTTTTTTTTTTTTTTTTTAGGGATACGTAGTATTCTATTGTGTGTATATACCAAAGTTGTTTTTAATCCATTCTTCTACTGATTGGGATTTGGGCTGTTTCCAACTTCTTGCTATTGTGAACTTTTTATAGATATCATATCATTTATTTCTACCAGCAGCCAATTTACTACCTGTTTTATAGATGAATAGTCCGAGGTCCAGAGAGCTCATGTAACTTTGCTGTGGTCACACAGCTAGTAAGTGGTGGAGCCAAGATTCACACTCAGACTGTCTTGTCACTCATCTCTCAGCATCATGTCTCAGGATTCTATGACTGGTCTTAATTCTTCGATTCTGGGACTAACTTACAGTGTGTCCTTAGGAAAGTAATTTCCGTTTAGCAGGCCTGCCAATTTCTCGTAGAAACCGAGACCCTTGCGAGGAGAGATTAAATTTTGCTTATGACTTTAGTCTTTTTAACTAGCATTACACCTGACACAGACAAGTTGCTTTGCCAAATAAAGAAATGCAGTTTCCTGTACACTGAATGAATGAAACAACACAAAAACAATGCAAATATTTCTTGACACTCTGTGCTGATCTAGGCACCAATTTAAGCACTTTACATGGATTAATTATTAATCACCATAACCTTATAGGGTAGGTGCTATTAGCCTTTCTATCTGACAGAGTGAAGGAACTAAGGTGCAGACAGATTAATTCATTTACCTAATAAGTTTACCAGGTACAGGCAGTGTAGCGTCAGTGCCTCACCAAAATAGTCCTCTCACTGATAAGTCAGTAAAGTACAAACACTTTATTCAATACCTATTGTATGTACAGCCTTTTGGTTGGTGAAGTAGATAGTCAAGTCCCTGACCACAACTTGAGCAAAAATTAACCCTTACAAACTTAAGTAGCAGTGCGTT